TCCGCGCTCGCTGTTGTCGCCCTGTTGATGACGTCAGCGACGCGGTTTTGTCGAGCGCGCTTTAGTCGAGCGCGGTTTTGTTGTGCCACGGTGCACATTTGCACCTAAAAAGCTTTATGCATGCGCACGTTATAAAAGGGGAAACAAATTAAATTTTTGCAATTTAGATTGTTCTGTGCCTGCGCAGAACCAAAAATAAAGATAGTGCCGCCGCCGCAAGAACCGGTTCGGGGGCGTGGCAGGCCGAGTTATTGCCTATTCAACCAAACTGGTCCAAACCGGCAGGAACCCACCTCTGGGGTGGAGTACACGCCTCCTCCTGATCCAAGGACACATATAGCAGAGAAGGTACAGGCACAATGCTGGTCATCTAGACTATGCACAAAGAGACAACCTTGCCTCTCATGAGGGGCTGCAACAGTGTTGCCTACTTAATTCTGTCCTGAGGACTTGAGCATTCAACTCATGAATGGCTTTCCTGGATTTTATGTGTGCCCATTGGACTCAGTTACTCTTGGTTGGTCTGATAAAACACCAAGCATTCAGCTTTTCTAAAAACAAAACTTTTAAAACCAACTATCAGAGCACTGAGTTGCAGGGTAATTCCTCCTTTTCCTCATTCTATCTCACCTAGAACTGAGCCGATGTTGTCTCATCTTAAATTCCTGTTGTACCCTCATGTTCTCTAGTTTGACTGGGCTTGGGATGAAGCCCACTTCACAACCCTCTTTGACCAGACGTCCGATCCACCAATCATTGTTATATTTCTGAAGCAGAGAAGACAAAAACAAATATATAAAACACATAAAATTTATAAGGTGGAAAAGAGAGAGGAGAGCCATTCTGAGTTGCTGTTTGTTACCTATTGATAAATACTAATGGTTTTCAAGTTTTCATATCATAAATCTCACTAATCACTCTGGGTCTCCCCTTAGCTAAAAACCAAATGCTTACTTTATTCAACAAGGTGTGTGTGTGTGTGTGTGTGTGTGTGTGTGTGTGTGTGTGTGTGTGTGTTTACAGAAGTCTCTTTCTGTATTGATCAAGTACCATAAGTTTTAAGAACATAAAAGATACATTAATACTATTAATTATACTGGCAACTATAAAATGAGAGCTAATGGGGTTAAAGCAGCATTTCTCATTGTGGGAGCAATTTTATATAAGCCCAGATGAAAAATATTTTCAAATAGTGAAAAGGAGGGAGGAAGTGGAAAAGATACATTGGTTATGTTTAATATGTCAAACTCCTTGTAATTTTTTTAGTCCCATGTACAAGAAGCTCTGCCAAATAATCCCTTCTCTTTGCCTTAGCATGCTATATGGGAGACTGATGTCTCTGCTTCACTTCACTCTCTTTTTCTATTTTCTGATTTAAGGATGGGAGTCATGCCCCACCCAGATTATTACTACCTTAGATAGGACCAGTAGTAACGGTTCCCTTGGTTAAGAAACATTTTATAACCCTTGGGGGACTAGGGTGAGCTCTTACATTTTCCCATCAGATTGTTTCCACGGCCTCATCTGGATGTCTTACCTCTTTGATATGAAGGAAGTCTTTGGGTTCAAAACAAATAGACATGCCTTGGACTGGCACATCATCATTGGGAGAAGGATTATAGCCCACATTTGTCCTCACAGCAAATGCTACCGGCTTGGTCTACAAAACAACAAGCAAAAACACTTTGATGGAGAAGCCTATTTATGACTGGTTACAGCGTCCAACTTGCAATCTTCACAGCCAGTTTCTGGCCCAAAAAAGGCAAATTGGAAAAGTTAGATTTGCACAACAACCATATGATTTGTTTAATAACAGTAGTGATTTACCACTATAAAAATGGTTGTAAAGTTGGGCTTGGTTACATGATGACTCAATTAATGACTGTACCAATTTAACAATAGAAATTCCAAGCCCAAGTATGGTTGCAAACCAAGGACTACCTGTAGAAGAGAAAGAACTGGAGAAAAGTCAGAAAATACACCATTGGCATTGATCAAACCACTTAGTGATTTAAATTGCAAAATACAGCTTTACTTGTAATAGCTTACATCCCACAATGATACCTCTAACACCAGGAAACAATGTCTGCCTATCCCAGGCCCTTGGGAAGAACTTGATGATAGATAAAAATGCCAAATCCAGTCTAAACATCTGGCTGGCTGTCATAATAGCTAATGCATAATAAGCTATATTGGTATAGAATACCCATGGAACAGAACATTTTAGGAACCTTCCCAACTTTCTTGCAGTTGTTTTGATTATGAGATACATTTTCAGACATTTTTCCTCACTTTTTGTTTTGTTATTTGGTGAACTTTGGCAAAGTGTTAACAGGCTGCTAATAATCCTTTTGAAGTGGGGTGGGTGGGGTTTATACATATTGTTACACATTTTAAAACGTAATTGTTTTGCACCTGCTTTTTCATATTGTTAATTAGTTTGATGCTACATAAAAATGAAAAACAACTCTTCAGCTCTCCTCATTCCAGAGGCCAACTAGCAAAAGAATCAGGTAGAAAAATATGCCATCATTACTAGCACAAAGCACACCTGATACCAAGAGTTTTCAGACCCCTGTGGGGGCCCCAGGGTTAATCTGAAACTGTAGTCAACAAAGAGCTACAAAACCTGCTGAGAGAAGCAAAGGATGAAACTTTTGGCTTGAAAGCTAGGAATGTTCTGGGTGCCAACCACTCCTACTCAGTTCTGCCTCTTGGTTCATCCTGGCAGCAAGAAGTCTGGACCAGATCCCAGATGCCTAAATGCTTCTAGACATCCTAATTGCAAGAAGGAAGCAACAGGATCCGCCAAGAGCTGAAACAGAGGGAGACTGTTTCATTAGCTAATTGCATTTGTCAAAATCACAAGGCTTCAGCCAAAAGGAGCCTCCTTTTCAGAAATGTCATGGTTTACAATAAGGATACAAGTACCTGCTGTCATGAGCAAGACCCTAGCAGAAGTCTGCTGGAAAGACTGGCATCAGATTGGGGAAGCTATATAGGCAAGTACTGGTACATTTTGCATTGATACTATTTGGCCATCTCTAGTTTCTTTAACATTTCAAATGACTGGATTCCAATAACCACTTCTCCAAAATGGTATATAATAATTTTAACTGGTTTAAAATACAAAGATAAAAAATTCTATGCAAACCAAGGGAAATATAAACAAGAAATAAAGAAAAAGGGGGAAATACATGTAAAAAGGAAAGAAAAACAGGAAAAAATAACTTTCCCTTTCAACAAAAAAAGTATGAACATTTTCAATAGCTTAACACTTCTCTAATATTTCAACCAAAACTTTCCTCAACCCACATTTCATCTTTTATCTATTGGCAAATAATAAAACCTCATCTATCAATACATACATATGCCTTAGTAAATCAATGTTATAATTCTTTTCTGCGCTTTACCCAATAACTTGTCATTTTCTTTAAAAACTCTTCTTTTTGTGTCTTATATCTATAAACAACTCTTTAAAAACGAATCATTCAAATTTTAAGATAAATTCCATTAAAACAATAAATGTCTAGAAAAAACAAATCAGAAATCTGAATCTTTAATCTTCCCACATCTCCTCCAAATGATAAAAGCACAATTCTTTTAATTAACTTGACTTAATAACCAATGCTATGTAGATTTATTGGCAGCTGTCTGGAACTTCACCTACTTCCAGGATATTTGTTTGAATTCCCAGGCGACTTTATAGGCTTGACATTCCTTGGAGAGCTCCCATTCTTGCATGGAACAGCAGGTCCCAACCCTGCCTAGTTTCTGAGTCCAGGTAAAGTTGGCCAGATGGTTCCTCCACCTTCCCCCACCAAATAATGGCACTGCTTCAATATCACATCAAAAAAATTGTAAGGTCATGCTCATGAAAGTTATTCGTCACTATCTCAAACCCAATAAGAAATCTGAGAAACCATTTTTTTTAGATTAGTGTTTTTCAAACTTGGAAACTTTAAGATATGTGGACTTCAACTCCAACAAGCATGTTGGCTTGGGAATTCTGGGAGTTGACGTCCACACACGTTAAAAGTTGCCACCTTGAAAAACATTGTTGTAAATTGTATTTTCCTTTGATCCAATTAATCTGGTTGCTTCTTTCTTTCTTAATATTATTTCACAATTTGTTTGGTTTAAAAATAACAGTACAGTAACAAATACTAGAGAACAGCAGGGAGGAAAAAAGATGCATGTCAGCTCTTACTCATTGTTTGAGGTTTTGTTTTTCCCCCAAAAATAAGTACTATAAGTACAGACTTCCAATCCCTGTTTTAAGGAATGCTACTGATAGATCGTCTTAATGGTTTTCTTTAATATTTCTCAGGCTACTTTCTGTAGTTATTGTGAGCAGGATATGCTATTCGTGGCTGGTGCTTGGAAAATAGCAACTGGGAAATACCTGTGGTGAACAGGTGCTGAGGCAAGACTTGGGACTGTGCCAATCTGCAGCAAAGGTTCATGTTTTTGTAGCATTGCTTTAGCCAGTTCAATTAATAAGAAATATTACTAAAGCTATTCATCTACCTCCTAAATTGATAAAGCATCACACGCCATTAGCCAAATTAATTTGCAGATGTATAGCCAGCCAGGAATTTGTAGTGATAAATGGGATGACACTAGTTGCAAAAAAATATGGAATCTGCCTAGATTTGGGCCAATCTCTTTGGAGGTAGAAGATCCAGGCATCATATCTAAACAAGATTACAATGAAAATCTGTGACTGAACAGACCTTTTGGAAATTCAAAGTGGCATATCCCTTCACTTTATTTTCATAGCCCTGATAAGTTGGGCTGAGAGAGAATGATTGGTTTCAAAATCAGTAACATCTTTGTTGAGTAAAAGCATGAACTTGGCTTTCCCAAGTTTCAATCCAACATCTTTATCACTACATAACACTCGTTCAATAGTGTTATGTAGTGGAGACGTGATCTAGAGTTGAAGGGCATTAAGACCTTGCCCTTGTCATGGTCTGATCACTTCCTACTGAGGCTTGACTTTCGGAAACCAATCCCCCACTGTAGGGAGTGGGAACCGATTAGGTGGTTCCGCCCCAGGCGCCTGATGGACCCTACGGGATTTCAGACGGCGCTTGGAGAAATACCTGACACTCTTGTCCACAATCCGGTGGAGTCCTTAGTTGCTGCCTGGAATACAGCGGCGGCGGGGGCTCTAAACCGGATTGCGCCTTTGCGACCTCTCCGAGGCAGCGGATCCAGGAGGGCTCCTTGGTTCACCGAGGAACTCCGGGAGATGAAGCACCAAAAGAGACGCCTAGAGCGCTGCTGGAGGGCCAGTAAATCTGAGTCAGACCAAGCACCGTCTGAAATCCCAAAGGGTCCATCAGGAGCTAATCGGTTCCACCTCCCTACAGTGGGGGATTGGTTTCCGAAAGTCAAGCCTCAATAGGAAGTGATCAGACCATGACAAGGGCAAGGTCTTAATGCTCTTCAACTCTAGATCACGTCTCCACTGCTCCGAGAGGAATACGAGGTCAAGCGTGTGACCCGCTGAATGAGTCGAACCCTGAATTACTTGGGTCAAGTCCATGGCTGTCATGGAAGCCATGAACTCCTGCACCCCG